AAATGGTGGAAAAGAAAAAAAACAGGAGGAGTATGGAGAAGGTGAACGAGAGGTGTTTTAAATTTTGCAGCAGAATGCATATTTAACTAAAAAAATTAATACCTAAACTCTGTTTCAAAGAATTACAAACACTTTTGATACTACCTTACTGCTGCAGAGAACTGGAGGAACAAGAAGTCTAAAATCTGGCTTCTGTGGATAGAGTTGACTCCTTGCAAATTCAGGAAATACTTGAACACAGCAAAAAGTGAAGCTCCAATTAAAATTTAAAATTAAAATGTAAAACATTGATTTCTGGGTATTGACTAACCAGTCACTTTCAGCACTTGTTGAAAGCCAAGCCAGCCCAACACTTGTGTCCCAAAGCCTGTCAGGAGGACAAGCTGAATGTCACACATGGTGGATGTGACATGTCAGCATGTCACACTGTGCTGAAGCACAACAGCTCTCCTGCAGGAATTGGGATTTCTTAGTACTCTGCTATTGGCAACGTCCCCACTCATCCTACTTACCCAATTTTTTACCTACTGACATCTTTTCTTCCTGGCATTTTCTGAGGATATAAGGAAGAGTGAGAATCAAAATAACACAGTGGTAAAGCATCTGTTCTAAATCACCTGAGAGAAGCAAAACATCATAAACCAGCCAGGAACCTTTTGGGGTTATCTCCATATAATCTACTGCAACTAAAACCATTCCTGAGACATGTGACCTAATCTGCCTTTCAAAGCCTTCAGCAAATGAGATTCCCAGATAATCATTTTCACCGCCAAACTACATTTTCAATTTGAAATAATTTCCTAATATCTACTTTAAATCTCCAAGTCCATCACCTTTTGCCCTAGACCCACTGAACATAAAGAAAAACTGATTCCTTCTCTGTCTGCAGAGAAAAATTTTATATATTTGAAAGATCATTACCATTTTTCCCAACACCCTCCTTTTCTTCAGACTAAACAACCCCAATTCTTTCAATCTTCCCCCTTAGATCATGCTTTATAGGTCTCTGATCATTCTTGAAGTTGAGACTATGGCAACATGTGCTACAAGGAGAAAAAGGAAAATTGATTCCTACACAAAATTCCCCAGGAAGCTGGGTGACAGAGGGTTGGTTTGAACAGGTTACTTTTGTATGATGACTGTCTGCTTTGTTGCTTGGGTGTTTTAGTCCCAAAATACACGTTTTTTCTGTTCTTTGCAGTTCACAGTGTAGGTGTCCCACTACACAGAATAGGCAGGCATTACACTCCCCACTGAAAAAAAACATTTTGGACCTGGGGAAAACCATTATTATGGAAGGCAAGTTATTCTTGCCAGTCATAGAATACTTCTCCTTACCAAGATGGTATCTTTTGGATAAATTGATATAAGTGGCATTTTTGCGATACCAGGATAATTTAGGCAGAAGTTTAAGTAATTTTTAGAAACATGAGTAAAATCCTGCATCACAAAGTCCATTTCAGGGAAATATATTAGTTCCATAATTGCTTTCTAGTGCTGCATTCACTCTGTCTCAGAAAGCAATATGCAGTTGTAACATACACTGAGAAACGTCTACAGTTCAGCTAAAATCAACAAAACTAAAAATAATCATGTGCATTTTAGAAGATGCCATGTCCTTTATAACCAGATAAATTAATTCCACCATCCTCGTAATCAGATTCACATACATAATGGAAGAATGTAATTTACTTCCATTCTCCAGAGGTATACAAAGTCTTTTTTTTTTTTTTTTTCCTTCCAGAAAAAGGTTTTAAAATTGCATTGTGTTCTATTCACCAACATTACCCAAGCAAACAGAGTTATCTCTGTACCTCTGGGTACCATGGCATGGAAAGATTGCACTCAGAAGTCAACTGGGCTTCTGGGTATGAATTGGGAAAACAATCCTATCCAGAAGAAAGATAAGACCTAATGAGAGATGATAAGTGCTGGGAAAATAAGCTTGATGGAAGAAAAGGAAGTGAAAAAACTTTTCCATGCTGAGGACAGAAAAGGTCTTTCAAAAACTTTTGTTAAGCATGACATATTAAACATATCCAAAATGTCATCCAACAATAACATGAACATGGACCATGTAAAATGGTGTTATCAAAGGGTCTTTCATCTAAAAATTAGGCAATTTATGACGTTAATTTTGTAGAGGAAACTCCTAACAAGAAGGACTTTTTATGTCCTCAGTGAATTTTAGATTTTCAACTCAAAAGGAAATGGATTTTTCAATAAAACAGTTCATCATCTCTAGCTACCTCATATGAGCCTTAAGAATACATCAATATGTCACTTGCTTCCTCTCATATCAAAAGCCTGTAAAATAAAACATAAACTTTCTCTGCACACTTTAAAACTTTTTTTTCTTGAATTTCCATTCTGTTTTGAAAGAGAGAAGATGCCAGCTGCCAGAAGGTGGTGAGGACAGACCCATGTGTGACATTGCTGTACCGAGGTGTACCAGAACAAGAATTCTGTACACTGGCAAACTTCAGAACATAAACATTTCCACCCTGACAACAGATGACAGCCAACTGTTTAAATGTCTAGAGGGGAGAAAAAGGTTCATTGACTTGTGTTGCCAGTTCTGTATTGATATTAGTCTGACACAAATTTTTGTATTTGCATGATCTTTTCCATCTGTAGTATTTGTGCAGCCCTAAACCACAATGAATCTTTCTTCCTCTATAGGAGCATTTGAAGGCTTTAGAAAATCCATTCTGACTATTACTTGTTCCCCAAACTAAGTAGAGGAAGTAAAAACCAGAGAGAACTGAAGTAAGCAGTTAAACTGCCCTATGGTTCTGCTAAAACAAAGAAACCATACTCATAAATCCCATCCTCTGAGGACCCATCTCTCTGCTTCCTCGTCCCCAACCTGCAAAAAGTGTGGTAGCAAAAGGAGCAGGCTCACAGCTACACCTCAGCAAATGCAGGGATATTAAAAGACATTTATGAACACTAAAATTTTTCCAGTTTTTATCTCCTGGACCTTTGTACAACTTTTGAGCCAGTGGTGCAAAGCCACTGTTAATGACCTATCTGACAAAACAGGAGTGAATGGCCAGGAAAAGCAGTGAGTGCCTTCAACCACCCCTACTTCAAAGAATCCAGGCATGACTGGTAGCAGCTCTTCCCCTTCAGAGCACTCCCAGGTGCAGTCTGTCTTGCTGCAAGGCCAAACACGAACCTCTGCTTCCTCTTTGGTCTCTGTGAGTCCACCATGGTCTCTTCTGGCACTTGACAAGTCTGCATTTTTTTTAAAACATGCCCAGATTTGGAGCATCCTCTACCTACTAAGGGGAAAGTTGTAACTGGGATTAGCAGCTATTCCTTCTGGAGATCGGCCTCAAGGTAAATAAATGCAACGTCTCTACCATGAGATGCAGAGGAAATCCCACCTATGTCCTGACTGCCTGTCAGGATGAGACCAGTTTGCACTCTGGTTTCCAAAGAAAGGCTATTTTGGCACATCAGCCAGCAGGGAGGCACCACAGGTTTCCATAGGACCTCCTCACTGTGGAGGATCAAACTGTGATCACAGCCTCACACACAGCACGGTGTAACCTGTGGTTTTCACTGAACTACATCAACGACACAGGCCTGAGCCTCACAGAGGAAACAAAACATGACAGAGCAGATAACTCAGTCTTTTAGCTGCCCATAATCTCCTTCCCAATGGTGCCACTGCACAACTGAAAATACCAGTGACAATGCTGGAGTTTCATCACCAGGTTCTGACAATTCTGACATTGCCTTAACCTTGAAATCACGGCTGGGTGAGGCAGTGGTTCACTGGATCCCCTCCAACAATTGCTTGCCTAATTCTATTAAACCAAGCCAACAGACTCATAGGATAAACACCCAAATGAGCAAGCCATGTACAACAGTCATTATTTACAATGCACCACTGCAAAGCCTCTCTATCTTGAGCAACAGTCACAATCCTGCCCCATTTTCAGTTTCAGTTTCCTTGTTGGTGAATAGAAAACCCTGAAACCGTGTTAGAACACCATAAATGGCAGCAATCATAGGCTTTACACCAGGGTTGTTTAACTTACGCACTGATAAGCAGCAAAACAAACCACTCTAAACAGTAATAAAATCAAATATACAAGAATGAGCTCATAAGGATAATCAGCAAAAACTCTGATCCCAGATTGAGGTCCACCAGCAAAAGTTGTGGGGCCAAATATGTCGCTGTGAACAACAGGTCTGGAGATACCGTGATCCAAGAGGTGCAAAGCAGGCGCGAGCTGTATCAGCAGAGAACTCAGTGATAAGCAGCAGCCACGCTGTACTGCTTTACAGACTGGACTTTGCAGCTGCTCTCTACATTTGCCTCACCTTAAAAAACACTTCACTTTAAAAATTGGATTTCAAAGTATTTTCCATGGTGTGAATCTGAAGGCCAAGGATGTATTTTGGGGAACCAAAGGACCATCGTATATTCCACTCTGTGTGGGTCAGTGCTGGCACACTAACACAGAGACACAGGAGCATTCACTGTCCTCAAATTTGCATTTATCAGTACTTACCTATACTTATATCCAAGTAAGGATATATTTTTATGAAGGGGAAAAAAAAGGAGCTAAATATAGTACCTGCTCATTGCATAAAAAACCTTTAGAAATGCAAAAGCCAAGTGCCTGCTGCTGGTTTTGCTCCACTCTGGGATTCACTGCCCTGTGCCTACCCTGACCGTGCCCTCGGGTCACGCCAGAGACCAGCACGGGGAACCCCTTCCCTGCCTGGGGACCCGCCCGCGGGGGAACCCTTGGGAAGGTCCCTGGTCCGCACAAGCCCCTCAGCCGGGCTGGGCCGGGAGCTGCGGGGTCCCCGCTGCCATCCCGCCCCGTCCCGCCCCGCCGGGCCCGAGCGGCCGCCGGCTCCGCCATGCCCGGAACACAAACAAACACCGCGCTCGGGGGCGGAGCGAAGCGGCTCCCACCATTTTGGGGCCGGGGGAGCCCAGCAGGCGGCTGGGTCCCCCAGCCCGTCCCGTCCCGCCTCGTTCCGTCGGGGGCGGGCAGGGCTGTCCCCGCGGCGGGGCCGGGGGGCGCGGAGCCCAGCGAGGCCCCGCGGCTGCTCCCCGCGCCCGGCGGGGAGGGGTGAGAGGAGGAGCCAGGGCGGCCCGTGCGACAAAGCCCAGTGCGCAGGGAGCTGGTGACCGGGAAGCAGAACCGCGCCGGGCAGCCGCGGGGCGGGCGGACCCACCGGAGCCCGCTGCCCCACGGGGGGTGGGAGGCCCGTCCTGCCGCCCCCCCGGCTCGGGGGTCGGGGCGGCTGCGGAGCGGAGCGGGAGGCGGCCGGGCTGCAGCTGCTAAGCCGCTTAGGGCCGGGGCTGGCATGAGCCTCCCCGGCGGGGCGGCTGCGGGCTGCGCGCTGCGGCGGGGAGGCTGAGGGCGCGGATCCGGAGCGGGAGGAGGCGGAGGGGGGGCCGCGCTCCCCCCGGGAAGATGGGGAACTGCCTCAAGTCCCCCACCTCGGATGACATCTCGCTGCTCCACGAGTCCCAGTCGGACAGAGCTAGCTACGGAGACGGGGCTGAGCCGGATCAGGAGCCGCCGCCGCCATATCAGGTAGGGGAGGGGGCGACAGCGGGGCCGCGCCGCGGCTGCCGGGGGTCGCGGGGCCGCTCGCCCGGGGGCCGGCCCGCACCGCCCCGGAGGCCGCCGCCTCCCCGCCGCCGCCGCTCCGGCGCTGGGCGGCCCGAACCTCTCCCTTTCCGCCCGCACGTAGCGCAGGGGAAGCCGCTTTGTCTCGGCCGGTGCCGGCGCTCCGGGCGGGCGGGAGGCGCGGTGCCGCCGGCGGGGCGGGGGGCGGAGGGCAGGGGCCGCCCGGCCGGTGCCGCGTCCTTTGTTGCCGCCGGCGGTGACATCACCGTCTGGCGCGGGGACGCTCCGGGACGGGGACCGCGGGCCCTGCCCGGGCTTTGCCCGGGCCCGCTCGCACCGCTCCCGTATTTTTAGCAGCATCTGATCCTCGCTGAGTAACTCCCCCAGCGCAGGGGATCCTGTTTCCCTCCGTCCTGTGGGGCACCGGCGGGGAAGTGTTTCCCATTGTTCGGTGCGTTTTTTGGGTTTTCTTTTCCTGTCTCTGAGAGAATCTGTTAATTTACATCTTGATGACGAATCAAGGGGGAAAGAAGGAAAAGGCCCGGTATTTGCTTTGGCGGCTTTGCTGACAGCGGAGGATAGCGCCGATGTGGAGGGGGGATGGCGATGGTGTGAAAGCCTGCGCTTGGCCGCCTCTGGAAGGGATGGACACGGAAAGGGAACCTGAACTTGGGGTTGCACTTGTCTGCCCCCGGAGATCTCCACCCCCACCTACAGAAATGTGTATTGACCTAAACAAGCGGTCTGCAGCACTCAAAAATGAAAAGGAAAACCATCCAGCGGTAGAACTGCACGTTGTATTCAAGTTTTGAAAGTATTTTCCTGCCTGGGATAACAGCATACATACATAGCAGAGGCATCTGCAGAAACGGCAGTCGAGACACACATTCTGGGGGGGTGACTTGAGAGCTGTATGTTTTCTAGGATGGGAGTCATTCCCTAATTGCAGACCCTGATGTATAATTAACAAAATTGCAGGAAGTATTTAACCGGACAGGCGTGTAATCTATAAATGCTTTAGCGAGTTCAAGAATTCCACCCTGGTAGGAGCCCCGTGAGTGTTGAAGAGAAGCCCTGCACGTAGCAGCTTTTGCTGGTGCCTTGAAGCTGCACTGATGTTTCTTGGCAGTGTGTGCCTGATTGTTTTGTTTGGGTGCAAAAGCTGAATGCCAGAATAAATTCCGTGATGTGAGGAATTTTTGTGTTCTGATTTCTGAACTATGTCTGCTGAAGTCCAGTAAATAGAAAGTGCTTGGTGGCATATCAAGTTTTTTAAAGGTTGTGTTGTTCTAAATTAAGCCTGAATGGTCCATGAGGTTTAGATGTTCATTGTATTTTTGTCAAATCAGCATAAAAAGTTTGACTGTTTGTGCAATTATTGCATTTATATCTCTGATTCTAAGAGGACTTGTGGAGGTTTTTGTTTTCTTATTCTTCCCTTTGAAAGCAACCTGTTAGCTCTTGTGAGAGTCACCAATCAGGTTTATACCTTATGCAGGCCTTCTAGTGTGGATGTTGGCATAGATAAGGACTCTTCCTCTGTGGTCAGAGGTTTTTAAAAAATTTTTCTTGATGAAAAAAAAACTTGTCTGTAAGTGTGGATGGTTGACTGAGAACCCGACAGACAGTAAAATAAATGAACCCACAGGTGTCTATTATGGAATAAGTGTATTCATAGCAAACCTTGCCTCAGCTGAAGAAGCTGTGCAGCATCAGGTGATGTGCCCACAGGCGCTTGGCTGTGTCAAACATCACTGTCTGTCCTGAAAACTCCTCCACTGATCCTGGCAGCTCCTAAAGCTTCACCTTAGGGTAGCCTTTAGCGTCTCATAGTCAAAATCAAAGCTACTCTCTCCACAGGTTTTGAACCACAATGGATTGTGACTTAAAAAAAAAAGCTAGATAGGCCTTAGCTACAGTATTAGCAGCATTTTGTGCACTTAAGAGGTTGAAGGGATTCATAATTTTAAATTAGTTAATGTTTACAAGCTACACAAAACTCTTAAATACAAACAACTGCTGATGCTCCAGTGTTACTTTTGTGCTAGAAGTAAGTCACCCATTTTAATTTCAACTTCAACTGCTCAAAGTTACAAATGGGAAAGTTGTGCCCTTCTTCCTGGTAATTACTTCTTTCAATGTCTTAACCAGAGTTAGTGTATAATGTTTAGACATTAGGAATCAAAGCAAGGAAGGGGATAAAACAAGTTTGAAAACTTGTGGCAACTAGCCTTGAGAAACTGGAAGGTGAACAGTTTTGAAGCCAACTGCTGAAATTTCAGCTGCATATTTTAGAAGAGAGTTAAATCTGATGTGTCTGTTGCTCTTTGGTTTGCAGCAACAGTGTGTCAGCTTCCTGAATAGCTCTTGCAAGGTATGCAAACTAAGGGAAGGAGGTTTGCTGGGGGAAGATAGACAGTTGCAGAAAGAAGATGACTTCTGTATTATTTTGACATTTAAAGTACTTTTTTGTGTTCTAAGAGGATTGTGCCAGGGGTGTTCGTGTGGGACTCTTGTTATGCCTTAGTGTTTATTTACCTATTGAGTTCCAACTGCAAAATGTAACCCCAGTAAAAATTGCAGTAGAGCATGTCACATTCCTTTGATCAGTGAGTGCTATTAAACTGGCTGTGTAAAATTCCTACTTCCAAAAGTCAGGTTGAGAATTGGATTGAACAGTATGGACACAGAATAATGGGGAATAACCTCCATTGAGAGGCTCTGCAAATACCTGTCTCTTGGTTCCTGTGGCAGTACCTGTTACCAGCTGCTGCAGAAAGGCCTCAGAGAGGAAGCATCTTTTTAAACAGGTGTCTGAATTAATGAGAAAGTGGCCCATTAAAGCATCAGATATTTTCTAGTGCATTGAGCTTAACCACTAACACGAGAAAAAAATGAAAACACACACAAAAAAAAAAAGAATGTGTTTTCATAGCAGGGAGGAAGGAAGTGATTTCAAGAGTGGACCAACATTTTCATAGACAGACACTAATTTTGAATGCCTCCATTTTAGAACCCAGAAATTACAACTGCTTTCCTAAGTGTTAAGAACATGCAGCTCCATTTTTAACCAGGGAATCTGTGATTAGGAAGGAGTTAGCTTTGGTTTTGTTTTTTTTTTCTCAAGTCCTCAAAATTGAGTATGCTTTCAACTTTGTTTTCCTTTTTGGTGTATCACTTCTTCACCATCTGTTGGCAATATGCCTTCTGCTGTTTTTCCATACAAGTTCACGGGGTTTTTTTCAGTTTCTCTTATTCTAGTAGTTCTCCTCAAAGACTTTTTTTTTTGCAGAACAGATGTGTCCCTTTTCTTAAGTCTCATATTTCTGTTGTTAAATAGTTCCTTAATAGCTGTAGGAAATAATTTGCCGTTTTATTAAATTTTGGAATTTTTATCCAGTAAAGTACAAAATGCTTTGCACCTTTTCTCCCTAAGTTTCTGTAGAGTATTACTGTGGACAAAATACACTGCAGTCTTCTAAAAAGGGTGTATGGCACTTGCTAAATTACTTAGCTAAAAGCATGAGAAATAGGCACAAGATCTTGGTGTTGATAGTAACCTCATACAAGCTCGTTTGATATGTTGATGTGGCAGATGGACTGATAAAATATTTTACCTGCAGAGCTCCAGAGCACCCTCTGGTACTTTGTACCACCACCATGTGTTGCCTTACAGGCCAAGATAAAATGTTTCAGTAGATGTAGTGGATTTTTTCTTTTTTTTTATTTGGAGGGATTAATTTAAAACCTTTTGGCCTGGATACTCATTTGATTTGGCTGTAGGCACAAAATGAGACGAGAGATCACAAACGGGAGCTTAACCCAATGCTGTGCTCCCATAATCTTCCAAAAGCTGTTGGGGACAGCAGGTTTTGAAAGTGTAATTTAGGATGTCTCATGGCTTCTCCTGAAGCTGAGGTTGCTGCAATAGCCTCCTTGGCCTCCTCTGAGCTGAGTGTCACCTGTACACAGTGTGCATGTCCTCATCCCTCTGGCCTGTCGTGCCTCACTCCAGCTGCTCCCAGTTCAGCCTGTCCTGGCAGTGCCACAGCGAGGAGCACAGCACAGCAGGTGCAGCCCTGGAGATGCTGAAGGAGTGCCCAGTTTGAACAGTCAGAGAATCTTCCTGAAAGAGCCCACTGCATTTCTGTGTGAACCTTGCCCTCTGGATGGGAGTGTTGGATGTTTTCTGCTCAAGAGAGAAACCAAGCCTTTGTTACTCTCTCCTCGTGACTTAAGTAATATGTTGCATTGGTGTTCTGATGCTGTCTTTTCAAAGGCACGGTAATTAATATAATTAAAAATTGCTAGCCAGATGAATTCTGATCTAGGAGTTGCACCTATTTATAGAAAGAGCTGAACAAAAAATTCCCTTGGGCCCTGATTTATCATCTGTGACTGCTTGTATTGTACAAGAAAGGAGACTGTGGTAGTGTAACAGGTTATAATCTACCATGGAGTGGCTGCAAAAAATCTGGAATTCTTGATCTATGTTGGAACAGCATAAAAAGGGGAAAGATGCAATGGGAAAATGTTGCATACAGAAAGCTCTCAGTGAAAAAAGGCAAACCAGATAGTAGGGTTACTTTCATATAAGATGAAGCAGCATATTTAAAAGTTGCCTATGCATGTCTTGCCCTTTTTTCTGCTTGTCCTCCACATCTTGGTGATGGTGTATATGAATTACAGTTGCACTTGTGGATGTGAGCTGAATATCACTCCAGTCCACAACTCCTGAGTCTGATGGAAACTTCAAAGGGCTTCAAACTCTTTGTTTTTGTTGCTGGTTGGTCCCTTCTGGCAGCAGTGCCCAAGGTGAAATTCAGCTGCAATGAGGAGGGAAAGTGATGGAGGAGCTGAAGTTGAGAGTTTGCTGCATGGATAAGAAATGGTAGAGTAGCCAGTGGTGTTTGGTGCTTCTCCTCAAGGATGACATTGAATTACATAAGGTCTCTCAAGCAATC